TGAGGCGCTTTTGTGATATTTAATGGATTGGATTACATTTTTTATTTCTCTCTGATATAAGAATCCAGTAATTTAGGTCAGTATCGGACCGATACCGATATGTAATATTGGATCAGTCCATCCCTAATAGATACCATCAGTTATTTTCAATGATGGAACACTTGCTCAGGATAGAGATAACTCAAGCTCTGATCACCGTTTTAGAAGATCACCAATATTATAGTACATGCCAAACTTTAAATCCACTGTACTGCAGCAGAAATAGAAAGAAGACTTAGACACAAAATACAGAGAAAGTCAAACTCAAGTTATATACACTCTTAGGTATCACCGTATTTATGAGGTTCATACCTTTCGTGCCAGGTGGCTGAAGATTGTCTCCAGTGAGGGTGCACCAGCCAACAGGGAAGATGTCCCTTGAGTCATAGCGGCAGTAGTAATCAAAGGCTCCTCGCCAGCCATCAAAGGTGACCAGCACCTCAACACCACGCAATGCACCTACTGTCGCTGGGCAGATAAAGTGGGGATTTTTCCGGTCTACAGCCTCCAGCTTCATGCCCACCTGGAAGGAGTTCTGCTCTGGGGCGGGAGGCTCCTGCTGGGGAATATGGAGTGAAAGAAAAGGGTCAGATATGGTAGTTATCAAACAGTCAAACCGTGTGATAGATGTTCTTATTGTGTCATACATCAGAAGAGTTGGCCATCTTTGTAAATGCTGAGCTTTTTGAGCTTGTGAGCCTTGTACAGGTACCTTGTGAAAGATGCGAGAGGGAGCCATCTCTGCTCCATTTAGTGTTTTCAGAAGGAACATGGGCCAGGAGGACGCATTGAGTCGAAAACCTGAATAAGGACACAAATATTCTCATTACGACACCAGCTTGAATTCATCATGGTGATTCATCAGGTTGCATCACCATAAATCAAACAATGAATCATGAAATTATTCTGTAAATTAAGCAAGAGTGAAAAGAATCATTCATTATCATCAAGGATAATCACTACAAAAGTAGTAGGCTGTGTTCATTTTGACAGCAAATTTTGATTCAGTTTTAGTCATGGTCTTTTAACTAAAACATCATTTAGTTTTAATCCGATTTATGCATCTAAAGTCATTTAGTTTAAGTCAACCACGTATCAAAAGAGTACCATAGACTAAATCTGAAGTTGGTTCAGTCGACTAAAACATAAAGTGTAAAAGTTTGCCATGTTCTTAACCGCTCAAAGTTGCTCCACACTGATTTTTAATGGAGAATTTAAAAAAGTAAACTGTTTTACTCCTCTCTTCCTTCCTCACATTGACATTTTGTTTCTTTCATGAGAATCATGGAGCACGGGAATCTCCCCAACGACACACCCACCCACCCACACGTCTGGGTTTGCTATCCTCGGGACATCACATTGGCACAATGCTTTCCCTAGCTGCTTACCATAACCCTAACCAACAAAAATGAATGCCTAACCCTAACCCTTACCCTAAACTTAACTATAACCCAAATGTAACCCTGACACTAAAACCACATTTTGAGTGTGAAAAATGCCTTTAATCCCGTAGGGACCTGGATTTTGGTCCACATGAGGGCTGTTGGTCCCCACCAGTATAGTAAATTTCAGATTTCGGTCCGCACCAAGATAGTAAGAACCCGTACACCAGACCTCTGCCCACTAATGCTGCCTACGGTATTAGTCCCTGTCCTCTTCCTATGTTTCCACTGACACACACTGTTGGCACACTGTGGAGAGATACGCATGACAAAGTCTCTCTTTATTAAATTGGCAAAAAGTGTCGTAGTGCTTTTGGAGTT